GAGAACTATTTTTTGCCGCAACTTGAAGGAATGGATATGGACGATGTTTATTTCCAACAAGACGGTGCAACATGCCACACAACCAACGTCAATATCCATCGATTGCAGTCCTTCTTCGGTGATCGCGTGATTTTGCGCAGAGGAAATGTGTCATGGCCACCAAGATCGTGCGATTTGACTCCCTTGGACTTCTTTTTATGGGGATATTTGAAAAGCAAAGTCTACGTCAACAAACCAGCCACCCTCCAAGAACTCAAAAACAACATCATTGCCGAGATAAATGCCATAGAACCGACCATGTTGCAAAATGTCATTGAAAATTTCGACCATCGCGTGGACGTCTGTAAATCCAGTAGTGGTGAACATTTGAGCGATATTATTTTTCATACATAAATGGTATAAATGAACCTTAAAAATAAAGTACCCAACTTGATTTGAATATCAATCTTTCTTGTTTTAATATGCGTTTACTTTCCTGCGTCCGTTTTGGACAACCCCATATGTATTATTAACAAAAATTGAACAAAGAAAAGATACATTATAACGTAGAGCTGTGTAAATATAACCTAACATGCTTACGGAAAGAAGGCGGATTCATGGTTTTGTAATCATCAAGAATACTATTAGAGCGACTAGCAGCATAATAGGTAAACGAGTGTTGGAAAAGCGAGGTGCAATAATGGCGTATTCCAATATTTAATGTATGTTTTGCGAGCAGTTTATAGAGGAAAACCAAATAATGAAAATTAGTCAAACACTCCAGCTTCGTCCACCCAAGGGTGTTGTAAGCCTAGTTAACACGGTCGTATTTTCTTAAACCACACGTGAATCTGAGACAGTTGTTCTGAATCACTTTTAAGCGTCTTTTAGTGAGCTGATCCAAACAGGCTGGTAAAGAATATTGCAGTAATTAATAATTGCGAGATAAGGGATTCAGCTTTTTTCGCAATGCAGATGGCAGATCACGTCTATTTGCATATACTCTTAAAAAGTGATAATGAAAATTGTTGCCAGAATGCCGGAATCACATTGCCCTGGAAGACAAGGCATACAGAAAACTGGCGGCAGCATGCGAATGTAAAGGATTTTAACTGCTCAAAATGCTGGGAAGACGTTGAAACAAGAATTCACTTTATAGACGTATTTTTATTATTACCCATCTTTTTTCACATAGAAGCTACACCAATGCAACTGCTATAAAATTACCTCGACATTATTGTGGTTTAATAAATGACTTTTTTTAAGCATTACGTGATCGGTATTTCCTAAACATAATACGTCGTAACAATTGGTTCAAATGACTTTTTTTAAAATACCTAATTATGTTTTCAATAAAGGTACTTGACTGAGATCTACTCATTAGTTACATTAGGAAGACCTACGAAAATATACAGGGTGTAGTTAAATGATGGCTAAAAATACAGGATGTGATTCCTTAGCTTTGGAAGAAAAATTTATATCAACATAAGTCCTAAACCTCTTAATTTTTGTGCCTCAGGGTGTTAAAATTTTAAGAAACAAATCGATTTCTTATCATAACTTAAATATCGTTTTAGATATTTCCATGAAATAAGCACCGATACGCATTTTTTGATGTAGATGTAGAATATTTTTTAATTTCTTCCAGTGGCGTCCGTATATTTGAGATTAAAAAAAAGGATGTTATTGCTTCTTTTAAATAAAATATTTTTGTAATCCTCATTTATTTTGTGCAATAAATTCAATCTCTTGACTTTTTCCGTCCTATGCACGGTTTTCGCGTAAAAAAACATTCTCATGTATTTGTGGTATAAAGGATTTCGTCTAGGGGGGAGGTCGCAAACGATACTTAGGGCTGGTAATTTTTTAAACTCAGCGTAACTTCTAGAATTTATCCTATTATTGCTCTTTAAGTCCATTGTGTTCTATCTGGTCAATCCACAGAAGGCCAATATTTTATACTAAGTGACATATAAATCCGAACACCCAGTTTAAATGGTTTTATTTTAATAAAAGTTGGTGAATATATTTATCTTACTGTAAATAACAAGTGAACAAATTTTCAGCCTTATCAGTTGGACATTCCGGTTTTTATACTGCTTTTTTTAATTCACTAAAGCTCTAAAAATGAATATTTCAGCCGCAGTAAAGAATCAACGTTGGCGGATTTTGGTTCTTGATATCCTTTACGATCGGTTACGATGCCTAGACTACGGAGACCTGTACGATTTCGTCAACTTAGTGAGTTTGATAGGGGCCGTATAGTGGGACTTCGGGAAGCTGGACTTTCTTTTGGGGCAATTGCAGTTAGAGTGCAAAGAAGTGTAGACACTGTGGTTAGGTGTTGTCAGGCATGGCTTCGAGAAGGCCGTACGTAAAGAGCAAGGGGCACTGGACGCTGCCGTAGAACAACAGACCGTGAAGATCGCCGCCTAAGATTGTTTGCCTTAAGGGACCGTTTCTCCACTACCAGGTCCATTGCAAATGAATGGTTTGCAGAACACGGAAGACCTATTGGCATGCGAAGTGTTTACCGACGAATGAGAAGTGTTGGCTTGTTTTCATACCGGCCACACTAGGTCCTCCCTTTAACTCGAGAACACCGACGTAATCGCCTTGAGTGGTGCAGACAACGGTCACTCTGGGATCAGGAATGGAACAGTATTGTCTTTGGTGACGAGTCTCGATTTTGTTTAGGCATGCACGATGGTCGTGCCAGGGTTAGAAGGCGACGTGGTGAAAGGAGGAATCCACAGTTTTTTGTTGAAAGACATGTTCATCACACTGTTGGAGTTATGGTTTGGGGTGCTATAGCTTATGGTTCCAGGTCACCTTTAATCTTCATCAGAGGTAACATGAACGCGCAGCGTTATATCCACGAAGTTCTAGAACCCCATCTTTTACCCTATCTTGACACCGTTCCAGATCCAACTTTCCAACAAGATAATGTCCGACCACATGTTGCAAGAGTCACAATAGACTTCTTTCAACATAATGATGTCACATTGTTACCATGGCCACCAAGATCTTCCGACTTATCCCCAATTGAGCACGTGTGGGATATGATGGGTAGGAGATTGCTCAATTGGGTGTTCGGATTTATATGTCACTTAGTATAAATTAAATAGTACTAGTTTATTTCATCCACCGAAATTGTCAAAACTTGGTGCAAGTTCGTGTTAATTTTCATGCATTGCAAAATCGCTAAAATCTCATGTGGTAGTTTGCAAGTAAGATGTGTAAAACAGCCAAAATGGTTTTTATTTTTTACGCGAAAACGGTGCATCAGACGGAAAACAGACATGAAGTAAAATTTGTTGCAAAATAAAATGATTTTTATTTTCGTAAAGGCAATGGCATACGATCTTTTTTTTTAAATCACCAGTAAACATCACGTACGAACGGCAGTGGTAGAAAGACTAAAAAATATTCTACATCAAAAAATGCCTATTGGTGCATGTCAGATTTCATGAACATATCTAGAACAGTAGTGAAGGAAACTAATTTTTTCTTGAAATTTGAACACCCTGTAACTCAAATGTTGCGAGGTTTGAACATATATTCATATAAACTTTTCGGTAGGTTGACTGCTACGCAACATCAAATTATAAAGGATTATAGTATAAGCTGGCCCCTCTGAGAGAGAAAAGACAGTTACGAACACGGCTAACAAAAATTAAATGGATCAAGTAAGTCAAACAGGCTCATACAATTCTAATTTGCAGATTTAGCATGATTTTCTGTACAATTTTTGGGTTCTTTGGGACTTGGTTCCTTGAGAAAATATAGAGCTAGGTGTAGCTCTTCAAAAAGTTTAAGAGGCAGGTGACCCATCACACAAAGTCATCTTTTGCCGATAGATGACGTTAACTCTGCCTCTGAGAAAAAATTCTTAAAGCGCACGTCCAGTCCAGCAGCGGAAGCCGACTGCTACGCACACGAATCGCCTGGGTCGCAAAGCACGCGAGGGTCAGAAATATTTCTCAGTCATTCTAGCTTTTAAGGGAAAATATACGGGGAAATCTATGATGAGTTGAATCTAATCTAATAGGTGAGTATGATTACCGTGGTGAAAGGCGTATAAGTGTACCAATGCCAAGAAATTGAGATATACTGTCAATTGTTCACACCTAAAGAATTTTTCAAAAATGTCTTCTGAAACGTTCAAAAAGGAAGTGTGAGAGATTTTATTTTTTAACTCTTTTGGCCCTACTTGCGTCACCAATTGATCGCTTGTCATGTGATGAAGGCTTGTCGTCCTTGGCTTAGTAGCAACCTTGTGTCAAAATTTCATCAAAATTCGAGGATTAGCGGATCGACAGAGAGACCTATTGGCGGAAATGAGTGACAGGCTTTTATCGTGATTTAGCCTCGCAGCGAGGCATTCGGTATCATTAATATGGGTACCTGGGCACGCTGGGATAAGGGGCAATGAGACGGCGAAGACAGGATCAGCCAGCAAGCTCGTTGGTCCTGAGCCAGCTCTAGGAGTGTCCGCGTATAAAGCATGGAGGAAAATGGAGACGTGGGTTGCAAGACAACACTCTCAGAAATGGAGAAGTATCTCCAGACATCTCCGCCAGGCACGGGAACTCATTGAAGGGCCCAGTGCTAAGGATGGACGCTTCTGCCTATCTCGGGATAGAGCCAACCTAAGGTTGCTGGTGGGACTGTTGTCTGGCCATAACACGTCAAGGCGTCACCTGCACGTGATGGGGGTGGCTGAGGATACCTTATGTGAACGCTGCGGGGTAGAGGAAGAGACCTCGGCGCACGTTTTCTGTCGCTGTGAAGCTGTGAGCTACTATAGGCAGACTATACTTGGGTCCATTACTTTGGAGCTTGGACTCAAGGCGATTCTCAACTTCGCTAAAAGGATTGTACAGGTGCCTCTAATACGGAAGAAGAAATTGTAATAGTGTTTTAAGGGTTCAACTGAAGCTACACTTGTGTAAAAAAAGTGGATCGTATCACTCAGACTTTGCTTTAGATACTTGCAGTTAAAAATAATGCGAACTCACCTGAAATCTGGAAGTAAACGGAACTTAGAATTGGAATTTCAGCACGACAAAGCTAGTCGTGCGAAAGGAATTCTTGAGGAGTCACTTTCGCGCAGGTGATAGCAGAGAACCGGTAATGTAGTCTCATACTCGCAATTACTCGATCCGATGAGCGAGTGTTCTACACAAAAGCGCATAAAACATTTGTCATAAAAATGTAAATCTTATACAGGGTAAGACGCACGCGGAACGGCGCACTCCACCGAGCTTCAGCAATGAAGTTCGAAAGGTATCCACGTTACTTATACGTTTGCTTCTATATAGTCCGTATTTATAGTGGTATGAAATTGATTGTATTGATTGGCGTACGTATACTGCCTCTCATTGAAAGTTACAGCATTTATTTTTTGTGTATATTTTATTTCGAGAAATGTTGCTGAGGTACAATTGAAATCAGTTGCAGGAGAAGCATCGGTTTATTTGGCTGCTAGACAACGAATTGTGATGTTATAAGAAAAAGATTGATTCTGCAATATAAATGTTGTGCATATAATTCTTGTTTTATACGGTTTGCCTGATCGGCTTTTTAGAACAACTATGTTTAAAGCATTTAGTTGTACAAATCGTATGTACTGGATCAATAATTTTTGATAGGAAAGAAGTTCTAAAATAAGTAGCTCCGACCAATGGGGATAAGGACAAAATGGATAGACCATATCCATACTCTTACTTCTATTGATATTTATATGCCGCAGATGATAAACGAATATGAAAAGGAAGAAAATCGAAGAACTTTCTCGAAAAAACAACAAAATATTTATTTGAGCATAACTGCAATTCAATAAAACCAAGCACCCCAACATATGTTATCATTCAGAATTTAAGGGCATTGAGGTTTTTTTTTTGTATAAAATCACACACGTAGAGAATTGTTATATGTACAAGTGAAATCTCCTTTGAACGACCACCAACGGGACCAACTGGAAGTCTCCTTTTAAAAGGGGTGTTCGTATAATAGAAATACAACAAAAATAACTTTTTAATGACAAATGAATATAATAAAGAAATTGGAACATTTAAATCGTAAACATAACTGTTCTTAAAATAAACAAAACATGTTAAACTTGTTACCTTTAAATACATATACAGGGAGGCGCGCATCGAAAACGAAACAGACGCATTTACTGGCAGCTCAGTTTTTTTTTGGAAAAACGCTCAGACCCGTCGATTTTGTTTTCGAGGGAGACACAGGTTTGGCAGAAAATCACGTTAGCACGTGCATCCCCCTAAGCGGGGGTGACACCACCCCCAAAATCTTAAACGGAAAGGGGGGTCGAGTGATACCTTATTTTAAAGGTCTTTCACTTTCCTTTATAATGATATAAAATTAATGTACTTCAGTTCAGTAGTTTTGAAGATTTATTGATTTAAAGCTCAAATAAAACTAATACATTATCATTAGTGGAGATCACTACATTTGGTAGCAAAGTATTTGAGGAGTAATTTGAAGGCACTCATTCACAATTCTTTGTCGCAGGTCTTCTAATGATGTCGGCACATAAAGAAATACAAAGGTGATAAATCTGGCGATCTTGGGGGCCATTCAATGGCACCTCTTCTACCAATCCATCGATCTGGAAACGTCTGATCTAAATATTGTCGAACGCGTAATGCGTAATGTGGTGGGGCACCATCCTGTTGGAACATCAACCTATACGCAATGTACCGCCGATCATTCTGATTTTCAGTTATGGCTATTAATGCAGGATCTATGTTATCTTTGGGAGATTGTTCTTATTACTGGATAGCGACTATGATCTTGTATGGCAAAATACTAAGTCATTACCGCATCGCTTTCAGAGTCCGATTCGAAGAAAAAAACTAGTTTCTGGATCAGCAACTCTATTTCCAGAATCTTCCGTATTTCTGAACACTTTCCTTGCTATTTGAATGACAACGCATATCTTATCAGTATATTCCGAATAACTGTAACGTTGGTATGAAACAATAATAAAAAATAACGAGTATTTAAAATAACGAATAACATGAGATTCATGCTATGCTTTTAGTGAGGCGTAGTATAAAACCTCGAAGTCTAATTTATACTAAGAAATTATTTTAGGCTGCGATATTTTTAGAAATCGACGGCAGTGATTGTTATTAATAGAGGTTCAAAAATCTGATAAAAAAACGATCAGTGTAAATGAAAAAGTTGTACACGAACTCGCTTAGTGAACACTGTTCAGCTAAATTTAGACAAATTGATCAATGTTCGAGCTCTAAATAGTATTGGTAATACTTGATTGTTAGTAGGGGAAGGCCGACGAAAGGCAAGCATTTCGACGCAGAAGGAGTCTATTTTTAAAGAATTGTAACGATTGGCTCAATAATTTTTTTTAAATCGACTCAGTCCTGTTACTTTCCGGACGAACCCTGCATTTGAGCGGTCAAAATGATCCCGGATCATTTTACCCTACCCAGAGAGGGATCATTCTGCCCTGAAAGTATACATATTGCATAAGGTTATGGTAACTTGATGCCGGCTTTGTTTATATTCTCGTAAACTCGTGAAACAATACACAAAATTATGTGTTTTCATAAAATGTTTTGCAATTTAATGTTCCTAATACACTAATGACACTGCTACTGCAATATCTTAATAGCACTTACCTTAGGTCAAAGAGCACAAAAACCTGTTTTCTCAAATATTTTTATTAAGGCGTTGTTCCCACGTTCGCTTTCAGTGCTGAAGTAGGTATGACGACTCAAATGATCGTAGACACCCACTCGAATCAAAGAGGGCAGCATTGGTATTAAAAATAAAGGGAGAAATCATTATGGCCGCAGGGATCATTTTGGGCCACCTTCCCCTACTCTCATCACTATTTTATACAGGGGTTTCCCAACGAAAAGGTCCCAGCACCATTTGTAACTCCTGCTACATTTTGAGAAAACGCTTACACACGTCAATTTTTATTTCATCTTTTTATCTATAGCAGTATAATACAGGTTAATCCAAAAATAAGATATTGTGGTACACTTTAGACTTTTAAATGGAAACCTCCATTTTATTCAATTTTTAGAGTTTCCAAGAAGTTTGTATAATAAAGTTTATACCTTGTGAAGCTACTTGAGTTTATAATAAAATTCGACGAACCTAATGCAGTACTGATAATAATGGAATGCACGGCAAAAAATAATAATCATGGGTACCAGAAAGAACATTTAGCGTCAGTCAGACCAATTAAAAATCTAAAGTTTAATATTTTATTTTTGGATCACCCATTATTGTACGGCTATAGATGAAAGGGCGTCCTCCAAGAAATCAAAATTGACTTGTCTGAGAGTTTTTTCCAAAATATATCAGAAGACTCACAAATAGGGGTGCGACCTTCTCGTTGGGCCACCCTGTATGTAGACGATATTCAAATGTTTGGAGTTATAAACGATTGGTCTTAAAGATACACACAGTTGTCAAATTAAACACAAAATATTTGAATAAATACATTTATTGCTTATATTTAAAGAAAGAGTGTGTCATCGGTAATAACTAATAATTAAAAATATTATGATACGCATAAAAGGTGTACAATACTGTATTCAATACTGTTTCCATTGAAACTAATTTCAAAGATAGACTATTAAACTCACTCAATAACATTATAGGACATTTATAACATAATATATCATTTGCTTTTTCATATAATTTTAACTATTCTATTTAAAATAGGTATAGCTCTATCTCAAATGAAGGACTAGATTTTACACTGCAGTGTCTATGAAAACAATATAATTCGTATAACCAAAAAATCTTACTGATCTTTCAATTTATTCTAAGATATGACAGAAGTAGACTAAGGTGAGGTAAGTAATTATTTTTCAACGTATAATATTCCGTTTTGATGTCCCATCGCGTATTATTTTAACATCATTTCACTTAGAGACTCAAAGTTGGCACATAAAATTACATAAACCTCTTAAATTAAACAGGCAAAAATAATTGAAGATCCTAGATACATCTATGAGGCAGTAGCGGAATCTACACTTTAACTCTTTTCAAAGTATGTTTCTGCTACTGTCTCATTATGTAGATGATCCTAGGACCTTTCTGATCCCTCTTTGGACGCCAGAATACATTATATGGTTGGCTGTCTTCAGGTAAAATCTGTTAATAAAGATAAAATGATAAAATCGCCTATCAAAGAAAATTCACCTGACCAGAAAATATCACGATCTCGTTTGATACACAAATAAAAATCTCAAATTGGTGGTCATTTTACATTTTCATTATTTCCAATATATCTTTCAAGACCTCCCGATGTCTGTATGCAATGATCCCGTTGCTGTTGCAATCTGGTCCTATCGTAGTGTAATCTATACTGCACTCTTCACTGATGATGCTGTCCAGAAAGTCCAAAACGTCGCCTCCGATGGATTTTAGAATCGCATGTGGAGCACAGGTGTCCCATTTGTAGGTTGTTCCTTTCGTCAACAGGTACACGTCCGATAATCCTGAGGAAAGTAAATCATTGTAGACCAAGTAATTGTTTAGAATTTATTCCGATCTCATTAAAGAAGAAATTGTTGCTCTGAATTGCGTGTGGAGGTTCTGAATGTGACGTTAAATTGAAGAGCTAGGACTAGGACCTCGTGGGGTCCCAAGTGGTCCATTTTCTGTTTCTTTCATTTGAATTCCCAAGAATGCTTTGGACACTTAAGATTTTCTAGGTGCATCTATCCTATATATTCTTACTCGACATTGTAATTAGCATGGGTGCCCATTGAGCAAAATTCAAAGGGAGGGGGCATTGGTGATTAAGAAACATGTACCCTGGACATATTTTCTTTCCCAAGCTGATGCCCTAACAGGCGCTCAGCCCTTCCTTTCGATACATATATCATAGAGGTTACCATGGAAATGATGCGTCGTCATTTTGTAGCAATCGATCAAATGGCAGCGTTCGATTCATGCAAATCAAACGTGTATATAAACTTTCAGCTGAATTGGTTGCGGTATTCTGGTTCAAAAGTCAGGTTCAATATTTATCCCACACATGCTGACATAGTAACATAGCAACAAACAAGTTAAGTTAAATAGAGAATTTATAATAAAATAGTATTAGATTATTCCAATATTTATACCTAATATCACAGTCATAATTTTATATCCAGCCCCGGCTGCTTCAACAAGTTGAAATCCTCCTTCAATCAGTTTCTGTTTTATAGTTTCTGATTCACTGCTGCTAAGACAAACAATGTTGTTCCTTTCATTGTGAATCTCGATGCTAGAGAAGTTCAGACCGGGTAGCGATACACCCCATATGCATTGCTGATGTGAGCTGTAATATTATTATCATTATGATTTTATTATTATCATAATCATTATCGTTATCGTTATCGTCATCACTATCGTTATCGTTATCGATGTTGTTGTCGTTATCGTTATCATTATCATTGACATTATCATTATACAGCTATTACATTCAATATGACCACAGGTGAATGTTCACTTCAGAATACTTATTCGCGTTTTTCAACGACTTTAAAAGTTTCATTTGTCGGAGTGGCGAATTTTGAATTTTATGCAAAATTGCATAAATGTGTAGTATTCAAAAATTGTATATGATGTATCTATTTGTAGCTAAGTCATGTACAAACAGTACCGTAAATAACATAGCATTCATATAGATGGAAATTCGTAAAAAAATACTACTCGTATATTGAATACTCTGTAGAATCAATGCTAGTAATAAATAGTGATAGATCCGTTTCTTATCACAGACACGTGGCAGATTTCGGTGACTTCTAAAGGAATTTGTAATCAACGATTCTCAAGTTATCAAAATGATCATAATGAAGACATATTCGCCAATTAGAAAGGTTATGTTAGGAACTAAAGTATCTAGGCAGTCATTTGAAAAATACTGTACAAAACGCATTCAAATATTAAATATACTATTCAAACAATGTAAGAAGAATGAATATCATTGATTAGCCTATTCTACTTGAAGGTAGCCAACCATATACTGTATTTCGACATCCCAAAATGGATCTTTAAGATACTAGCACGATCTACAAAACAGAAAAACGAATTTAATAAACTAATTAGAGAAGTGTTAGAGTGTTTGGTTCTGCTACTGTCTCATAGATAGCGCTAACATCTTCCACCCCTTTTAAGCACCTCTGTTATGTCGGCCATTTCAAAAACATCCGTGCCTCGTGCCAAACCCTGTAGAATACGTTAGTCGATGATGATGCCTATTTCAATTGGATATCTTCAGGTGGAATACGTTAATCGATGATGAATATAGATTACCAAATCAAATAAATGTTCATACTTATCACTACATCTATCCACAAATGGTCTGTTAATAACACCCATAATAGGGGTATGCTGTGATTTTGAATACACCCCTATAAGAATTGTCACACATTGCAGACCATTTTTGTAGATACCGCTGTCTAGGTCACCTTGACCTCCATTGATGTATTCTGCTGTACAATCTGAAAAAAGCATCAGGAATCGTATAACTGCACAATGATGCCGCATCGAAAACGAAACAGACGCATTTACTGGCAGCTCAGTTTTTTTTTTGAAAAACGTTCAGATCCGTCGATTTTGTTTTAGAGGGGGACACAAGTTTGGCAAAAAATCACGTTAGTACGTGCAGCCCCCTAAGCGGAGGTGACACCACCCCCAAAATCTTAAACGGAAAGGGGGGTCGAGTGTTACCTTATTTTAAAGGTCTTTCAATTCCCTTTATAATGATATAAAATTAATGTACTTCAGTTCAGTAGTTTTGAAGATAACTTACAATACTAATTTATTAAGTAAATTCTTTTAGTCAAATTTATTCTGAAACTAGTACAAACTAATTTGATGTACCTATTAAAGTCTACTTGAAGCTTTAAATCAATAAATCTTCAAAACTACTGAAGTGAAGCTCATGTATTTTACATCATTATAAAGGGAATTGAAAGACCTTTAAAATAAGGTATCACTCGACCCCCCTTTCCATTTAAAATTTTAGGGTTGGTGTCACCCCCGCCCAGATGGCTGCACGCGTTAACGTGATTTTTTACCAAACCTGTCTCCCTCTCGAAAACAAAATCGACGGGTCTGAGTGTTTTTCAAAAAAAAAAACTGAGCTGCCAGTAAATACTCCTGTTTCGTTTTCGATGTGCCACCCTGTATTATGCTGTGTTTCGATGGTGCGACATCTAACTGTGCATTGCGCAGAACGACGAGCAGTTATGGGCCGGTAACGGACGGGTTTTCCTTCATCTTTCATCGTACTGGATGATGACAAAGATCAACTTGGCAAACCATTTCCAGATAAAGATCGGCAGATTTTTAGCCTGCCTCCATACAGCTGCAGTTTCCTTAATGGTCGATACTGATTGTCAGAGAAGACTACGCATACAGAAATATTTATTACTTGGGTTCAAGCCTAGAAATAGCAGTGATGTCTTGATTGATTTCTTACCAATAGGATCAATCCACATGGCCAGATCATTCAAATTCACGTTAAATTCCGTATCAGGAATCTTTGTATTTACATCATTTATAGCAATTTCTCTGTGCACTTCTGCAGCTAACAGATTTGCAGCTAGGTGGTCTCCGTTTAGTACGTTTTTCAACAAACAAGCAGTTTTGGTTTCGGTATCTTGGACTTCAACGCATATCTGTTCTCCTAATTTGTTCGTAAATGTGTTGTTTTCTTCTCCTTTTACATTATCGGACAGATCCTGAAACTGATTACAATACTTGAGTTAGCTGCAAAGAAAATATAGCATCATGGTTCTCGAAAACAAATTGTATTTGAAACATTTCTATTATACCTGTTTTCTTATGAAATGCCTAACCATCTCCTGTATAAGGACGTCAGCTAGTGTCTTGAAATCTTCCACAAATCTTGGGTTGGCCTCATCTTCTTTTTTCTGCTGCACCAACAGTCCGAAAAGATGTTGATCTGCTCTACAAACTCTAGCAATATTTGCAGCTTTCTCAGAGAGTACTATTAAGCTCTTTAGAAGATCCATGACTGCTAACAACTGTAACGTTAGAAATATTGAAGCTACAACATTGAATAATGTCACAGCTTTATTTCTCCTCTCCGCCGTAATAAGAAATCTACATTTAAAAAGGGTAGTGTCTGATAGATGGTGCTGTAGATAATATATGCTCATATACAGGGTGGCCCAACAAAAATGTCGCACCCCCATTCCTGACTCTCCTGGTATATTTAGGGAAAAACGCTCGGACACGTCAATGTTGATTTGTAGGGGACGTCTTTCCATCTGTAGCCGTACAATACAGGGTGATTCAAAAATAAGATATTGCGTTACACTTTAGATTTTTAAATGGAAGCTCCAATTTTTTCGTAATATTATGTTGATTGGGTGTTGGGAACTGTTGTTATTATTGATAAATAAGTTATTTGTTGGTTATCATTCTTTTCACACCTAAGTATGTTATTATTAGTGTATTTCCAATTTATATTAAATAATGTGTGCATTTGTATTTTTATAAGGAACCGCTGAGATTGTTAAAGTGATGTGTGTTATGATATAGCCAGAATTGTTTACGTTAGAAAGGTGACTAAGCGTTGTCGACCGACTCGAGGTAAAAAAAAGGAGGAAGGGCAGGCAGTCTTGAATCGGTAGCAGTGCCGGATGCTCCACTGTTCCAATTTCGTCCGCCGACGCGCATGACGTCACGCGGAGAGTGATTATCATTTGGGTTGATGGATAACGTGCATATTTTCACCTACAGGCCAAACGGCTGGACGAATTTTCACATATGAAGTGTCGTTGGATTCGTCTTAGCAGTGCCAGGGACACTAGATACATTAAATTTTATACAAAATAAAATGGCGGATTTTAATAAAATATTTCAACTTTGTAATTCATATTTCATAGGCTCAAACGGCTTGATAGATTTTCACATATGAGGTGTCGTTGGATTCGTCTTAGCTGTGCGAAATTTTTATCATTTACTTATTATGCTTCATTAAGTACTTATACAAAATTTTATTAAAATAAAACCATTTAAACTGGGTGTTCGGATTTATATGTCGCTTAGTATATTTTTGTCTCGATGTAACGCGTTAAACAACCGAGCAGTAACTCTTGCAATGCTCCCATTTTGGTATTACAGGTACAGGTACATTATTTCTAACCTATCTTGAATTGAGTAAGTGTTTGTTTAATATTTATCACAACTAGGTAGGTCACTTAACAATCTGAAATGAACACAAAGCTTTTCTTTGAAATACGATGACACTGACTGGTGCTAAATGTTCTTGCTGGTATCCGTGATTATTTTTTCCGTGTATTCCATTATTAGCAGTATTAAGTTAGTCGAATTTTCTGATTTCAAATAGTTCCACAGCGATTGAAGATATGGAATAATTTTGGTTCACCTTGTGGTGTACGGTTATAGGTGAAAAGACTAGGACTAGGAGAGTCACAAATGGGGGTGCGACCTTTTCGTTGGGCCACCCTGTATATAGTTCGCTATACTATCATGAACAGATTCTCACTGGTGACGCTAAAGTTTCTCATTTCATCTTGGATAATAATTTTTCGGATGCGCGAATGTAGGCTATCTTGAGGTAGAATACGTTAACCAATGGTTACAATAATTAAATCGATTCTTTTATCTAAGAATACATATATGTAATTTCGAAAATGATCATGTAACGGGATGTTCTATACCGTAAAACTAAAATAAAACATATAAATAGAGTCACGTGTATTCCCTTTTCTTCGAAAAACTCACTTCAAGTTAAAATTTGACAAAGATATATCCATATTTATTTTAGTAAATTGAGAAGAAATCAAATGCAGATGTTAGCAAGAGAACAAGAGTATGATTAAGTAAGACGTGAGAAAATACTATGATTCACAACTCAAGTTCGACAATTATTCCGCACATTTGATATTGAAGTCCACTGTCTGATTACCTTAATTGTGTAAATTGCTGATTATCAAGTGGAGGTGCCATAAAGTCACTAGAACACTGAATTAGTTTGTGCTTGACCTTATAAGTCACTTACTTGTAGCCTACGAACTACTATTTTTAAGAATAGCTTTTCAAACATTTCCACTGATAAATTTCTGAAAATAAGGTTCATGTGGGTTTACAATACATCTCTAAAATATATGATAATATAATTATTTATATTGAAATCAACGTTCGATACCATAAACCTGTTCGCTGTATCGTTCATTTTAAGAGATTTGTATGCTTAATCGCAATCTTGCGATGTTTCCAGTAATTCTAATTCAAATGGTATGCTCGCAAAAACGCTAAAAGTTGATTTACTCACAAATTATTTGAATGTATTACAATCTCCACTTTTCGAAAATCCGATTTAATATTTCAGTAAGTCATGTTGGAAGATGCTGGCGGACTTATAAGTCAAAAACCCTAGCCGAAAAGTGAAACCTTATATGAAGGAATGATCTTTACCGACTTCCTAGCCTTTTAATGTCATCCTTAATTTGTACCTTGAACAAGGCCGTCGAGGTGGCCGAAACGTCAGAATCATTGCTACATATACTAAGTGACATATAAATCCGAACACCCAGTATAAATGGTTTTATTTTAATAAAAGTTGATGAATGTATTTATCTTACTGTAAATAACAAGTGAAAAAAATGTTCAGCCTTATCAGTTGGACCTTCCGGTTTTTATACTGCTTTTTTTTAATTCACTAACGCTCTAAAAATGAATATTTCAGCCGCAGTAAAGAATCAACGTAGACCTGTACGATTTCGTCAACTTAGTGAGTTTGATAGGGGCCGTATAGTGGGACTTCGGGAAGCTGGACTTTCTTTTCGGGCAATTGCAGTTAGAGTGCAAAGAAGTGTAGACACTGTGGTTAGGTGTTGTCAGGCATGGCTTCGAGAAGGCCGTACGCAAAGAGCAAGGGGCACTGGACGCCGCCGTAGAACAACAGACCGTGAAGATCGCCGCCTAAGATTATTGGCCTTAAGGGACCGTTTCTCCACTACCAGGTCCATTGCAAATGAATGGTTTGCAGAACACGGAAGACCTATTGGCATGCGGAGTGTTTACCGACGAATGAGAAGTTTTGGCTTGTTTTCATACCGGCCACACTGGGTCCTCCCTTTAACTCGAGAACACCGACGTAATCGCCTTGAGTGGTGCAGACAACGGTCACTCTGGGATCAGGAATGGAACAGTATTGTCTTTAGTGACGAGTCTCGATTTTGTTTAGGCATGCACGATGGTCGTGCCTGGGTTAGAAGGCGACGTGAAAGGAGGAATCTACAGTTTTTTGTTGAAAGACATGTTCATCACACTGTTGGAGTTATGGTTTGGGGTGCTATAGCTTATGGTTCCAGGTCACCTTTAATCTTCACCAGAGGTAACATGAATGCGCACGAAGTTCTAGAACCCCATCTTTTACCCTATCTTGACACCCTGACAGATCCAACTTTCCAACAAGATAATGCCCGACCACATGTTGCAAGAGTCACAATAGACTTCTTACAAGATAATGATGTCACATTGTTACCATGGCCACCAAGATCTCCCGACTTATCCCCAATTGAGCACGTGTGGGATATGATGGGTAGGAGATTGCTCAATTTGCAACGTCCTCCTCAGACTCTAGAAGTACTTCGAGAGGAGTTGGTGGTTGCCTGGAATGAGATACCACAGGAGGACATTGACCACCTGATCAGAAGCATGCCTAGGCGCGTCGGAGAATGCGTAGCACATCAGGGTGCATCCACACATTAATAAAGGTCAAAGGGCTTTAAAGCAGTGCAATCATTTTGAAATTTTTATCATTTACTTATTATGCTTCATTAAGTACTTATACAAAATTTTATTAAAATAAAACCATTTAAACTGGGTGTTCGGATTTATATGTCGCTTAGTATATTAAGGGCAATAAGGGGCTAATTTAAACTCAATGAGATTGAAATTTGAAACACCATAACCAATAACTTTGCAAAAAATTTGTGCGCCACTAACTTTTTTGATTTTTATATTTTTTTCGAATTAAGCACCTAAAAATACAATTGTCTCCTAATCATATCTTGCTTCGTTTGAGAGATAAAAAATAAAAAGCACTTTATTGCATGTCCCTGGGACAATACATTCTCAATAAAAAATTAAAACCACCAGACTAATTAAGCAATTAACATTAAACGAAAGTCATCACATGAATCTTTTCGAAGACATTTAAAACTAGTTTCGCTAAAACAAAATAACATAAAATAAACTAAACACAAGGAGCGATTCTTTTATTCTGTGATTACTTTGTTGCAAAACAAGATAACAACAAACTAATTAAACTAAATATTTAAAATGTCAATAAAGTAAAAAGTCCCAAAAAAAAAATGTTTAGTCAATTTTCTCCATTGAGCGATTTTGTTACATGATACCTTTAGCCACTTGTGTCTTCAATTAATAACAGCAATGTCTTGAAAGTAACAAAAAATAAGAGTGTCATGAAAGGAAACACAATAATTGCTACTCAATCAAATCTGACTGTGGCATAAGTTGCTTTAAGTAGTGTACATAAGTAATGATCGTAATTATTTCAAGTGTCTTTGAGTCTAAAATTACTAATATTGGAAAATGGTTCAATTTACACAGAAATGGCCGATATGCATTTTGTTTATGGAATGGCTCAAAACATTATACCAAATAGACAAACATTCGTGAGAATACATGAAACGCTATAGGAATCAGGCACCTTTCAAGGGTCGGCTGCTGTAATTGCGAGACCTGTCTCAGTAAGAACAATGGAGATGGAGGAAACAGTTTTACATAGAGTTGAGCGTAGCTTCGATGCAAGTACACGCAAAATTTCCAGCGTTACCAGTGTGCAACGCCACTGGAAAAACATTGCAACAATAAATAACGTTATGTGAATATTTTATGTTTATTTGTTTTATCGAAAGCAGATATAATCTAAGCAAAACTTAATGATCAAAAACATGAAATAAAGTGCTTTTTATTTTTTAAATCTCAAACAACGAAAGATATGAAAGAAACTCCTGTATTTTTTGTCGAATATATTGGTTAGGGTGTTTTTCAAGACCCCCAGGACTCAATAGTTCCAATCTAATTGGGGCTAACTCACTCCCCTCAATACGATTGCTAAATTTGAACAAAATCGACTAAATATTTATTAAGATATTCAGGAGAAACCGATGTTTTAGAAAAAGTTTGACACCCTGTATCTTGAAAATGAATCATTTCTGGACGTATGTTTAGGTATATGAACTTTTCATCTAAAGAATCGCCTCCTGAAGTTTGGCCATGCACTTAAATAACATCCTGTATAATCGTTTTATGTGTGTAGTAAAATAACACCAATTTTGTGCATGCACATAATTTGAAAATAGGCTTTTGCATGAATACTACTGAGTCGACTTACTTGACCGCGCTCCTAATATACACAACCTACTTTAGGTATGTGCGCTAACATGCCCTATATACAGACCGATTTCAGTACTTTGAGGGAGAGTATATACTTACGTTGGAATCCGCAAACTGTCGCACCTGACGGTTCTCGGAAACTATTCACTCAGCATCATTATCGCGGTACTTATCTGCTTTATCATGTGTCAATCAGTAATCGTTGCGGGATCAGACAAAAACTTGGAATTGAAAATCTAATCTAAAACGTAGCCTGTGTCGCGACGTCTGAAAGCGCGTTATCGATTTAGCTGAAAGCGCCTGTCGGTAAAGAATGCTGGAGCTCTGAACTAGCGCGAAATCTAAAAAGTATTACTCAGAGCTCTCGTAATAATATTGACTCTTAACCGGATTCGTTTAAAAATAAACGTTATGCTTAATGAAAAACATGCACGGGACGTAGTAATTGGTGTGACAGCTCACCTATAAGAGTCGAATTTAATTTGAAGCTTATGCTGTACGAACAACAGTGGTCGGCCACAAATATACTCAAAATAGGTCGACATTATAATATTTATTTATTTATTTATTTACTCAACAGAATGTGAATTCCAAAGACAGCACCCGCTGCTTACTATAGTGATAAAATAAAAAGATACATAGATTACAAAATCCAGAAGATGAAAGCCTGTAACACAAGCTTACTATATGAGAATAAACAATACTATGATATAGCAACTACCATAAAACGATATAAGTTTATTTATTAATATGTGACCATAAAAATGTTTTCACCATAATCAAGAGGCTTATGTAGTTTATCGTCCAAATATACTAAGTGACATATAAATCCGAACACCCAGTTTAAATGGTTTTATTTTAATAAAATTTTGTATAAGTACTTAATGAAGCATAATAAGTAAATGATAAAAATTTCAAAATTATTGCACTGCTTTGAAGCCCTTCGACCTTTAATAATGTGTGGATGCACCCTGATGTGCTACACATTCTCCAACGCGCCTAGGCATGGTTCTGATCAGGTGGTCAATGTCCTCCTGTGGTATCTCATTCCAGGCAACCACCAACTCCTCTTGAAGTGCTTCTAGAGTCTGAGGAGGACGTTGCAAATTGAGCAATCTCCTACCCATCATATCCCACACGTGCTCAATTGAGGATAAGTCGGTAGATCTTGGTGGCCATGGTAACAATGTGACATCATTATGTTGAAAGAAGTCTATTGTGACTCTTGCAACATGTGGTCGGGCATTATCTTGTTGGAAAGTTGGATCTGCCAGGGTGTCAAGATAGGGTAAAAGATGGGGTTCTAGAACTTCGTGGATATAACGCTGCGCGTTCATGTTACCTCTGATGAAGATTAAAGGTGACCTGGAACCATAAGCTATAGCACCCCAAACCATAACTCAAACAGTGTGATGAACATGTCATTCAACAAAAAACTGTGGATTCCTCCTTTCACCACGTCGCCTTCTAACCCTGGCACGACCATCGTGCATGCCTAAACAAAATCGAGACACATCACTAAAGACAATACTGTTCCATTCCTGATCCCAGAGTGACCGTTGTCTGCACCACTCAAGGCGATTACGTCGGTGTTCTCGAGTTAAAGGGAGGACCCAGTGTGGCCGGTATGAAAACAAAACTTCTCATTCGTCGGTAAACACTTCGCATGCCAATAGGTCTTCTGTGTTCTGCAAACCATTCATTTGCAATGGACCTGGTAGTGGAGAAACGGTCCCTTAAGACCAATAATCTTAGGCGGCGATCTTCACGGTCTGTTGTTCTACGGCGGCGTCCAGTGCCCCTTGCTCTTTGCGTACGGCCTTCTCGAAGCCATGCCTGACAACACCTAACCACAGTGTCTACACTTCTTTGCATTCTAACTGCAATTGCCCGAAAAGAAAGTCCAGCTTCCCGAAGTCCCACTATATGGCCCCTATCAAACTCACTAAGTTGACGAAATCGTACAGGTCCCCGTACTCTGGGTATCGTAACCGATCGTAAAGGATGTCAAGAACCAAAATCCGCCAACGTTGATTCTTTACTGCGGCTGAAATATTCATTTTTAGAGCGCTAGTGAATTAAAAAAAAGGCAGTATAAAAACCGGAATGTTCAACTGATAAGGCTGAACATTTTTTCATTTGTTATTTACAGTAAGATAAATACATTCACCAACTTTTATTAAAATAAACCCATTTAAACTGGGTGTTCGGATTTATATGTCACTTAGTATATGTATTTTCAAATCCAGCATAAAAACTAGGCTAGAGTACAAAATTTTATGTCTTTATCTCAACACGTTTCGGAAATATTGAGGAAAAACCCTTTAAAAGACCGTAGCGCCCTTAGGGGAAGTTTGTCGACCTATATGTTTATATAAACTTGTCCTCCTATTTTAAGCTCTAGAAACCGCTGGTAGAATATTGCACACTTTTTCGGGACACCCTGTATATGTACACCATAGACAAGGTAAAATTCGTTGAGGAATTAATAAAAATATAACTGATACCGGAATTAATCAAATGGTAATTGTGTACGACAAGAGACAAGGTCGGACGAGCGGATGGACTTGACACTTTTTGCGCAGATTAGCTACTTTTTATGCAGTTTAGCCTGATTTCAGAACCAACCAGGTAGAAATAGCTGTAAATGAAAAACAGAAGAGAGGGTCGACATTAAAAACATTGAAAATTTGGAAAAATTGAAGCAACGTCAACAATGGACGAAATAATATTGAAATTAAAGGAGATGAGCAAGAAATTGTTTAAGCAGACAGTTTGGTTCATAAAATAGGAGAGTGTTTAAAAGAAATGTAAAATTAAAAAAAAAGAGCACTGAGGAAGAGAATAGAATTAACTTCCTAAAGCAAGAACTGATGAGAAAGTACATTATAATTCATGGCTTGAGGGAAGAATTTAAAAAAACGAAATAACGCTTGAAATAAAAGCAGCTAATACAATAAAATCAATGGTAGTTGCTATGAATGAAGAGCAAGATATACAAGGAACAAAAATGATGGGAAAACCGCAGCCAGGTAGAAAGAGACCACTACGGGCTGGAATGGCTTCGATTGAATTAAGGAATCAAATTTTGCTGGATAAGAGAAAACTTAGAACTACGGAGAAAATAAATAAAGAAAGAGAAAAGGGAAATACGGCATTCCTTAGATACGATAAAATAATGATAAACGGAAAAGTCTATGCAAAGGAAAAGCTTGATGATGCAAATATGCAACATGTCGGAACGCCTGACCAAAATAAAAGATGGACAAGAACGGTCAGTCAACTAACACCAGAGAAAGAGGGCAAAGCAGAATAACAAGGCATATTAAAAAATCCTAAAACTATGCAAGAGAATAGGTAACGATGATGAGATGATGACCAAGGCAGAGACATGGAGCAAGGATGAAGATACGGAAAGTAAACTAGATATAAGTAATGTGCGTCCTAAAAGTTTTGACACAAAATAATATTATGTTGCGATTGGAAACAAAAGTTTGCTTACTTACTTTACTGTCAGTTGACATTTATTCATTTTGAAGCTTTTGCTTTAAGATGTCGTATAAATTAGAAATAAGAAAAAGTATATACACGTTGGTTGGGCGGGTACCCAAAGTTGAAATCTGTCGAATATTGCCGAATTAAAACACTTCACGCAGAACCACTTATCGAACAATAGCGGAATTCTAGCATGTCTGAATCTCCCAAAAGTGGAGGACTTCGTGTATTTACTTCACAGAGGTCAGAAAGATTTGTGAGAAGAGCAAAAAGTCAGGCTCGAATGTCAACAAGGAGACTGGCTTGTCAATACAGACCTTCTAAGAGTGCGATATCGTTGGAATTGGGTAAGAATGAAGACATTCGAAGAACGTTGCGTCTGGTAGAACAGACAGGGCCACTCCACATAATTCAATAGTATAGTTTAGTCAAGCAATGAGTCGTAATTTATGATAACTAGTTAGTGTTTGAATAAATTTTTGCATAAAAAAGATCCGATTAATATTTTGTGCCCAAACTTTTAGGACATACGTTAAAGGAAAAATCAAGGGAAATATATCCAAGGGCAATAAGAAAATGATTTGCGTACGAAGATGAAATACAAGAAATCTCACAGGAAAAGAAGAAGAACTAATGATTGATTTCGAAAAAACAAAGCATAAACTATTAGGAATAACCGGAACAAAAATGAAGGATAAGGTAACATGTTAATAACGGATCACTTACTGATATACAGTGCAGTAACACACCAAAAGGGCTAAAAAAAGGAGGTAGCTTGGCCGCTTCACAAATATAAAGTTCGAACTACAGATTTTGCTGGCAATAAGGATGTCACATATTAACAGGGGCTTACAAATATATGCACAATAGCAGCTGCTGTGCACTGTTACCTCTGTATTTTACTATATGTCTATATAACCTGAATCAAGTAGACTGTGAGATCAAACATTTTTTATTTAATATAAAATAACAGAATTATTCTAATTTGAATACCCGTCTTGCTTTTCGTTCAGCAAAAACTTCCATCGCAGAATCCAAATTGAGTGTATTAGCTACTGATCTTTCGATATAGAGGATAGAGCAGTTGTTGAGTGTGTCTTTAGCCAAAGAAGCTCGTCGGTATTCTTTAATAATTTTCAAAGAGCTCATGACACGTTCAGCACTAGCTGAACCGATAGGCAAAGTCAAAAACAATCTGAATAAACTGCAGCTCTCTGGAAAACTGTCTACAAAATTGTTTCCAATCATGAACTTCAAATAATCTATAGGGCTGTCATCAGTAAAATTACGATTTTCCAAAAAATACATGCTCTTATTCTAATTCATATTTTAGATGTGTAGTGAAAAATTCCTAATATTTCATCAAATTAGTGTCGCTGGTTTTTAATTCGTTTTAGATTGACTAATTTCTATGACATCAAAAAACCAAACAGATCATTCACTTCACGAAATCTTTCATTACGTTCTTGCAATTCGTTACTCATTGAATCCAAAACTTCGTAGTAATTTATTCGATGTTTTTCGTGTGTTTCCAGTGGCGAGTCGGCAGCTTTTTCGTCGAACATTGTTTTGATTTTCGTCTTTCTGGCAATGGGAAAACCAGGATTTTCCCATTCCATCTCTTCCCATTTATTCTTAACCTTCAGAACAAAATTATCGTATGAGCTTTCGCTCCTCAAATCTTTTAATTCTTTTTTTTTCATTTGAACTTGCACGGTATTCATTACGCTCAATACTGAATGCACCATAACAAATTGAAAAAAAGGTCCAGTTCATGGAGGAAAGGAGAGATCTTGCATTCATTATATCTTTGCCAGAAACTCCCACTCTTGAAATTTCATCTTCTATGCAATTGATAATACATTCCACGATATTATCTCGAAGAAAATATATATGTTATCAAATAAAGAAATGCACAGTATTGTGAAAGTTTATGGTTATAAGCG